CCAAACTTGCATGTTTATTTATGACCTGAAGGGCGATCGTTATGCTCCTCATTCTTTGGGTCATTGTGACTCTTCAATCTCTCACTCTTATTTGACACGTTCAGTTATTTCTGACAAACTTGAAATTCCAAAAGTAAAACTAAGCTCAACTAAAAACAGTTTAACATATTCATTAGTAAAACACTGGAATGATCTTCCAATTTCCATTAAAACATTAACATCAAGAAATCGCTTCAAGCTTACCCTAAAACAATTTCTTTTAAATAATTGAACATCAATTTTATTGTTATTTCTCTATCATTCAATTTACAGTATTGTCATTTTACTATTACCACCATATTTCATATAATTTTTCTCCTTATGTATTATGTACTTTTAAACAATATATTAATATGATTTCACTGTCCTTATCAGTTTTTTTCTGCTATCAGTGAATATGCAAGGGCTAGAGACTAGATTAGTTCTACTAGAACTACCTCTCTTGTCCTCGCCAGATAGTTATGTATATCTCTATCTTCATTTTGTACTGTGTAATGTAATTTATATGGTGAAATAAATTTGTATTGTATTGTAAGTATGTAAGCATTCAGGCTTGTAGTTTTCAAGAAGAAGTCGAAAAAGTAAAACATTGACAATCACTCATATGATAAGCTTTGCTCGAGAAAGTCAACAGCAGAGCTAAAAAAGTACATTAAACATAACTGACATGTGAAAATAAATCTAACAAAATAAAATATACGTTTTTAATGTAAGCTTGTAAAAAAGTAATGATAGACTGGTCTGAGCTACAAATTGGACGACTTTTTTTTGCCCTCATCTTAAAAACTCTTGTGAAAAAGTTTGGTTCATTTTGCGAGGTTTGCCACCCAATCAATGACGGAAGCAAGACAGTGTGGATCAGGAAATAGATATCCTGAGAGACACCATAATGTATCAGTTTTGTATGTTTTTATTTTTAAATTACATATTTAATCGTCAAGAAACTGTAACCTGCTTTTTGATGCTGCCTGCCACGATATGCTAATTCTTGTACAAATTCTATACTGTTGGAATGCCAGATAATTTATTTTTAGTTTCTGTATTAGTCATTTGACTATTATGAATTAGATTGTGACACAGATGAACTTTTGTCAATATTCTGGAACCCAGTTGTCTGTGTATTAAGGTGAACCTGAGTGTGAATTTGAGATACAAGCACAACTCCACTAAAAATAGATTTTCGACAAACAAAATGGCTGCCAGACGACAATCATGGATAGTGACACATATCAATTTTTATTGATATTCTAGAACCCAGTTGTCTGTTTACCAAGTTTGAACATAACTGAACATTGTGAATTTGAGATATAGGCAGAATTGTGCAATAACAAATAAAATGACTGCATATATACCCTGGTATATGTATACCATCATGTATTACTATGTACTAAGTTTGGGAAGATTTGGTTCACGAATATCTGTGAAATTGCAATGGATGAACAGACAGAACTCAATCGAATTGGGGGGCTAAAAAGACTGACCAAGCAGGTTTATGAACCTATGTGCTAAGGTTAAAATAAACAAACACAGAAAAATTACCAATAACAAGACAGTTGGATTTATTTACAATTTACAGAATCAATATACCGGTAGTCAATATATTCAAAGTAAGTACTATTAAAAACAAAACAGAAGAAAATATTTACATTGAGAAAAACAAAACAAATTCTGTCAAAGTGAAATACACAGTAGTTGTATCTTATATCAAATCATTATTTTTTGGAAATTTAAATGAATTAGTGACGGCATTTTTGTTTATTTAGAATATATTTGTTATTGAGCACTGGAATAAAATGAACACACTGACAGGCAGTCTTAAATTAAGCAGTGCCTCTGACTTGAAGATCATATTTGGGACTCTTGATAAATTGGCGCTGCTATAAAAACTGTTCAATACACAAAATAAAACAGTCACATTGTTCTTCTACATCCTATATGTGACTTCACAGTAAAATGTCAGGAATAGGCTATATTGAAATTGTATGCACTGGTCATTTTCAGTCTTGAGTGACCAATTCATATTTTCCATGTCATAGTTTCTATGACAACAGCAGCGGACGGGAATGACTTAACAAAGAGAGGCAACAATCTGATGACATTTTATCTTGTTTCCATAGTAACAACTCAAGCTTCCTCACCATCAGAGTGAATGACTTCTTCAGCACCCTGTAAGTAAACAATAAGATTTTAGTTTCCATTAAAATTTGAGACCAACTATGTGGTTCAACTTTAAGGTTGGAATTAGGTTTGGCAGGGGCAAATGAAGGAATGGGATATGACTGTCAGTATTTTGTACATACTGTAACCATTCATTATTACTGGCATTTTAACATCACTATTTTAATGTTTTGAGCATTTTTACTGGGTTATGTGGATTTAATTTGACATATCAGTAAAAATAGCCAAATTAAAAACCAGTGAATGTATTTACAGCATGAAAAGTGCATTTTATGTGGAAGAGGTAGGGAGGGTATTACCAAAATTCACGCACATTCCTATGACATTTCACATTACCATGGTGTGATACACTTTCAATTGATGCAATCATATGAGACTCATATCAAATATGACACAGTACAAGGAATGTACTACTTTTATTTATTGCACATAGGGAGATTTTCTATTTTAGCCAAAATAGAAAATGGTGGTCAGCATCCTCATCTATTTTATCAAGAAGTATTTTCTATTTACAATTTATTTGATTCATTCATATGCACAGAATTTTACAAAACAATAGAAGAAGACATTTAGTTCATATCAAAACAAATTAAACACTGAATGATGAAAGTGTTGAACAAAAAAAATAACTACCAATAAATATGTATTTCAATATTTAAAATGATATTTCAGCTTTAATATTTTTGGTTCTTTAAAAGTAGATGGGAGGTAGAGCATATTTCATCACCACACACTGTGTGATGGGTGATAAAAGAAAGTGTATCCATCAACCTGAATTTTGGTGGAAATATTATCAAATAATGTTATCTCAGGTTATGTATTAAATTATGCACACATCCTAGCCTGATAGTTAATTGTTATATGAGTGAATGCTATTATCAAGAATCACACTTAGAGCTCTAGATAGATTAGCACCTTCCATTCAAGTTAATAGCATGATATAGACTGCTCAGTAAACACAAAGTTAATTGGTATGCCTCAGAGTCAATGACACACTGGACTCACATATACTGTGGACCGGTACATACTGGAACCTGTCTGGAACAGGCCCTCAGAGTCAATGTCGCATTGGACCCACATATACTACTGTGTACCGGTACATACTGGAATCTGTCTGAAACAGGCCCTCAAAGTCAATGACACACTGGACCCACATATATTGTGTACTGGTACATACTGGAATCTGTCTGGAACAGGCCCTCAAAGTCAATGACACACTGGACCCACATATATTGTGTACTGGTACATACTGGAATCTGTCTGAAACAGGCCCTCAGAGTCAATGACACACTGGACCCACATATATTGTGTACTGGTACATACTGGAATCTGTCTGGAACTGGCCCTCAGAGTCAATGACACACTGGACCCACATATACTGTGTACCGGTACATACTGGAATCTGTCTGAAACAGGCCCTCAAAGTCAATGATGCACTGGACCCACATATACTGTG